ATTTGAATTTTAATTATACGAAATATCCAATCTAAAAAAAGATAGAATAATTAATTAGAATATATAAAGCTAGTATTTTTAGAAAATGAAGATTCTAATTTAAATTATTCTTCATTAATTAAATTAGAATCTTTATCCAAAATTTCTAGAACCTCAAATCTCCGGCAGATTTTAGGATTCCGAATAAAATCCAGAATTATAGATATCTTATGAGAAGATTTATTCAAAGAAATCTAATAAAGATAATCGTCAATTATCCAGATCCTGAATAATACGAATATTTGGAAGGATCCGAAATCGTCTAAAATCATATAAAATGAGATCATTGAATTTAAAGAATTTCAATAATTCAAAATCAAATTTCTAGAATCTCATGATTCTAGATTTCAAATCTAATAATCAAATTATTAGATTTCAAATTTCTAAAATTGAGAATCTAGAAATATATTTTTATTCATATTTTATTACTATTAAATCCATCCTATTATTTATTTATGAATAATTTTAATGGATAATTTCAAGCTCATAAAATATATCATTATTCAAGATTGAGATATTTCATATATTTCTCCTTAAAATCAATAATCATCAATCCTCTTCAAATTCACGATCTCAAAAAATATTGTATATTCATTAATATCAAAAATCCGAATCTATCCTAATATCTCTTAGAAAACCTTATTTAAAATTAAGATCCGAAATTAATATATCCGTCCTATTAAATTTAAACATATATATATATATTAAATATATTATGATATAAAAATATCTGAGATTCATATCTTCTAATATAATCGTATAAAAAAATTTATATTAATCAATATCAAATATAGAATAATATAGTGAAATCCTTTCTATTCAAATTTCGACAGAATTCGATATTATTATCCAACCAGATCTTCATTCAAACATCTTTATTTGCGGACCTTATCCCTGAATATTTATATCTCATAAAATTCTTATCCAAATCTAGTTATCTTCTGAAATATAGAATTCGCCAAAATTATGTAAATATTCACGGAAAAATACGTTTAATCGAGAAATTCGTCCCTCCATGCCATCGCACCCTCCAGAATACATAAATATATCTAGACACGCTTCTATTCAATAGAATGTACCCCAATATATCAGGTGTCGAGGCCTTGCGTGGGCCCGCTTTGTGCAAAGGACAAATGTGGTCTACGACGAGCTACCCGACGTCCCTCTCGGCTTCCGACAAACAACGGCGAAGGCAGCGTTTAGAGCGAAGAGTCATACACAAACAACCCTACAAATGAAAGACGACGGCCTACGTGGTTGCAGCTATTCGGCCTCTGACGTTTCCAATGCCCGCAAGCCTCCAAACATCAAAACTGGATGAGATCTGAAAGCCCGAGAAGGAGCATTTCGAGAAGCCCGTACCAAGTGCTGCTACAACGCGACGGCCAAATATTTCTTGCTGCACACTCCACGTGACTTACCTGCTTCTCCCAAGGGCTCAGTCGCCTTTGACGCCCCTGCCAAGCCCAAATATGAGTCACGAATCTGCGGGCTTAGAGCTATAGGGTTAAGGAGCAATCTATGCTTCGAGGCCAAATTTAGGTTTAATGATGTACGGTTCGAGGCTTAGGCTTGAAAAAATGTAGTGTAGATGGTCCGTGGGTCATAGGCGTTCAATGCTCATTAGAGGGACACATAGCAACATATACCGTCAAAAGGTATGGTTTGGGATGTCTGCTGCAACTTCAGTATTTAGGCGTGTGCGCTAGGGCCGCAGGGTTGCTGGTTCAATCAAAGGGCGTTCAGGGCGTACGGATTTTAAAGATTTTGAAGTTGGACGCGCACATAGTTGATGACGTGAAAACCCCACATTGAGCTACAGACATCTGCTAGGAACACGAGCATCCTTCCTGGAGGCGGTTTGTAGGCATCTCGTAGCAGCGTCTAAGCAATGCATTACTTAGCTGTGACTGGGTGGGGGCAGTACCCAATCTCTGTAAAAGGTCGACTGGGTGGTTTAATCACAACCAGCAAGCCAACTGCGCAAACGCACCTTTTCACTCTGAATGTTGTAACTCGTAGCTCAGCTCAGCATTGACAGAATGTCCAGAATTTATGGCAAGGCAAAATACCTCCATAATCCTTTCAGCCTCTAAGGGGAACCTTGAGCCAAAGCATTGGAACATTCC